TGACATTTATGTTTTTTACCTAAAGTTTCTTTCTTAATTACATTCATTTTCTTAAATTTAGTATCAATGAACTTCCCAGTAAACATGAAAAGGATCAATGGAGTTGTCCTATCTAGAAAACCTCAATTTAAACCTAAGCTATTTATAGCAGATGAATATGGAAGATTTGTAGCAGTGGAAACTAACTTAATGGAATAAAATCAACAGTGGTTGCCATGTAGAGGCGAAATGATGATAATAACAATTCTAATATCTAATAGATCAGCTACTGCCCTTTCCATACAAAAATTGGGTTTATGTTGGGGGATTGGAATGGAATGACTATATCAACTTTGGATGGAACATCTGCCAAGGAAATTAAACCATCCCAGGATAAACTACCAAAGACTTTCTTTGAGATCATGGACAATTTAGTACTAATAGATTCATGGATATATAAAAATGGTTATGCTAGAAAATATACCTTTTTTCAGAAAGACAAAAATCTTTTTCAAGGGTGGACATTTTATGTATGTATGTATGTATGTATGTATGTATGTATGTATGTATGTATGTATGTATGTTGTATTTGTGCTGATAAATAAATAAAGGGAGACTTATTTATCAGCACAAATACAACTGATTTATCAGCACAAATACAACACAAATGTAACAAAGGCAACAGTAAAAATATTGGGTTTCTGTATGGATGGTCTCTTGTGACGAGCCGATGGACAGAGAAAGGAAGCAGTAGGCTTCCTCCCATATTTGGGCATTCCAGGGGTTGTGACGTTAAATACATAAATATATATATATACATATCCACACACACACATATCTCATTATGCACAGAGAAAGAAATATCTGCCGCTACCTAGGATTGAACTCAAAGCCTCCTGAATGTGAGGGCTCCACCTCTAGGCCACTGCACCATTCCAAGGATTGACATGATATGGACTTCTAAATATCTTGCAAATAAAATTTTAAAAGTGGATATTTTACCTAAATCTTTTTCTGATCATTATCCAGGTCCTTAGAGGAAAGAGTTCAAATTTTAGATGGAGATTAAATGAGTGTTCTGCAAAAGGAAATGATTTTAAAAGACTATAAAAAGAAACTACTATACAAGAATACTTTGATAATAATTTAGGTAAAGGGACAGGTTTAACTACTGTATGGGATGCTAGTAAAGCTGTTATGAGGGTCTATTTTATACAGTACAGTCATTTAGAAAGAAAAAAATCCCAGGAAGAGACACCAAAGATATTGGATGATATTCGATAGAAAGAAATTTAATTGCAAAAGATATCTACAGATCCTAAAACCTTATCTCAAATTAAACTGTTATGGCGACAACTGTTCTTGTTAACAGTACAGGAAGTAGAAACAAAATTAAAGTATGCAAAACAAAGACACTTTGAGTTTGCAAATAAACCAGGAAGAAGGCTGGCTTATAAGCTAAGAAAGGAAAGGGAAAAGACAATGTGAAGGCAGTAATGTAAAACAGACAACAAACTTATCAAGAAGACCTTTCATAACTTCTATTCAAACCTGTATAAAAGACAGGAGATATGTCAAACATAGATGAATATCTTTTAAGACAATAGCTGCCTAAACTATCTAAAACTCAGAGATAATATATAAATGATCCAATAATTGCCTTTGAGAGAAGCCATTAAAAATGAAGTCAGGTAAAGCTCCAGGCCCAAATGGTCTTACAAGCCAATACTGTGTTTCCCTGAAAATAAGCGCAACAAAGCCACTCGTCAGCTGTTCACCCGAGGTGTCCTGCCACCTCTGCAAGACTTGTTGTGCCGTTGCACTCACGAACTGCAGCACCACCATAAGGTTCGACTTACTGGCACAGCTGGCATCCTGCTGCTTGTGGCTGCGCCAGTATGTCAAACCTTGCAGCGATGCTGCAGTTTGTGTGTGCAATGGCACAAGCCTTGCAGAGTCCTGCTCCAAGAGGCGGAGGCAGCACGACGAGTCTCACAAAGACTCATTTCTGGCATCTTTTATTGGGGGGGGGTTGGCAGATAGGGCGAGTGAGAGGCAAGATGCATGGAGCAAGACATGGTTCCTCTTGCCATCTCTTCTCCCCTTCTTGTCGGGCATGGCAGTGTTTCCTGCCCCTCGCTTAGCCACCTGCCCCCTTTAGAGATGCAATTATGGGGAGAGGTGGGGTGGGCTGCAAGACACACATCTTACCTGAGACTTGCAGCTCCATCACGTTCCTCGCCATTGTGTCCAGGAAAACACGTCATAAAAAAAACCTTCTTGCACATTCAATCAAACTTCTCACAGTCGTCAGAAGTTTTTTTAACGACGTGTTTCATTGGACACAATGGCGAGGAATGCAACGGAGCTGCAAGTTTTAGGTAAAACATGTGTCTCATGGCCCACCCTGCCTCAATGGCAACAGCAGTCTGGCTGCTTCCCTTCCCCGCCATCTCTTTATTGAAGAGGTTGGCAGGTGGGGTGGTGGAGAAGTGAGACATGTAGAGCGAGACGTGACTACTCTTGCCGTCTCTATTCCCTCCCTCACCAGGCATGGCAGGCTTCCTCTGCGGCTTCCAAACCCCAGTTGGAAGCCACTGGAAGCGGAGCAGAGGCCGGTTGGGCCAGCCACCTGCTACCGAGACCTCCGCTGATATCAATATTGACAACAAAAATTCCTTTTTTCTTTAAACATTTTATTAGACCATAGAATAAAATACAATTGCAAATAGGAAAAACTGGTGAGGAAAGGAAAGAGAAGTGAGGGGGTAGGGAAAAAAGAAGAAAAAAAGTGCTGACTTCCAACTCCCTTTGTTGCAGTAAAATAAAGCATTAACATAGAACCTCAACTTTTTATTTTACCATAATAATTATGGCATTTATAATTTATAGCATTTCTAATAAAAACAAATCAGTCTAATCAGTAAAACCCAAAATCAAAGTTTCATTTTTTTCCACCTCAAGTACAAAGTCCAGAAGCGGTCTCTATGTGGCAACAAAAGTACTTATATTCTTTTGTTTGATCAAAACGATCAATTTAGCCATTTCTGCCAACTCTATCAGCTTCTGTAACCATTGGTCCAAACTTTCCTTCTCTGCCACAGTGCCTGCTCTACAGAATGATGTTCCCCCTTAAGATCTAAATGTCCCACTCTGACATTTTGAAGGGGCCTGAAGACTTGGTTCTTTATCCAGGCCTTTGATAGGGATGATTGAAGCCTTATTTTAATTTAGGTAATGTTCTTTTGTTTAAACTTGGTTGGTTATACTGCCATATATACTTTGGGGTGTGTGTGTGTGTGTGCTATATTTATTGTCATGTTTTCATATTTTCTATCATTTGTAAACTTCCCAAAGTCTCTAGGAGTTGGGCAGCAGATAAATTTAATAAATAATAATTACTATATATCCTAATTTTAAAATGCTACAAATTTCCAATAACAACCGACCTTACAGGATTGTTCTTGTGGAGAAAATAGAAGGGAACATTGTGTATATTCACTGCCTTGAGTTACTTACAAAGTAATAAAGGCGGGCTACGTACCATCTAATACATAGATTGAAATTATGTATTATTTATTTATCTAAAAATTCAACAGTAAAATCAATTACCTGAAGAAGTGAAGTCTCTAGAATATGTGCAAGCAGGAACTAGATTGCCATCTGTTGGATATCCTTAACTACATTGAGTAGTGGAGCTGAACTCAACGGTCTCTATTTTATTATTCTCTTTTAATAGGGATAAAAAGCTATTAACTGACAGCACAAGATGTTATAATTATGGAATAAACCAATATGTCCAAATTGTATTATAAATGAACATTCAGCCTGAATTCTGAAACCAGATTTCCAATTCAATAATGAAGAGGACATGAATTCTTTTTTACAGGGTTAGTTGACAATATGATTTGAATGTTCATATGGATTAAAAGGTAAAGGTTCTCCTCGCACATATGTGCTAGTCATTCCCGACTCTAGGGAGCAGTGCTCATTTCCATTTCAAAGCTGAAGAGCCGGTGCTGTCGGAAGACATCTCTGTGGTCATATGGCCAGCATGACTAAACACTGAAGGCACACGGAACGCTGATACCTTTCCACCGAAGGTGGTTCCTATTTTTCTACTTGCATTTTTACATGCTTTCGAACTGCTAGGTTGGCAGAAGTTGGGACAAGTAAGGGGAGTTCACTAGGGATTTGAACTGCCGAACTGCCAACCTTTCTGATCAACAAGTTCAGCGTCTTAGCCACTAAGCCATCCCTTCACATGGATTATGCAACTGGATTGTTATTTCTATACCATTACCTGTTGGTGTAATTCGTCCATACCAGGTTAATATTAAGCTTTGTTAATTGTTGTATTTTTTTTATATCTGCTCTACAAGACAAACATCTTTCAAAATAAGAAGTTCCCCGTTCCTTCTACTACATCTTTCCCTAAATCTATGTCCTCTAGATACGCAACCGTATACTGGCTAGGAACCATGGAAATTGTGATTGAGGACTTCTGGAGGCATTCAGGTTGATAAAAGCATGCATTCATTCAATTGTCTATTTCAATGTTGCGATCAACTTTAAAATACAGCAGCTGAACTAACTTTTTTAAAAAAATGTGGATGTTTTAGACTTCTTTCCATTTCATTTTTTGCAACATTTAACATGAGGAAGTTTATATTGTGACTTTTACTTAATTCTAATAAAGATAATACTCAACTATATATTCGGAAGTATTACTTTAGTTTTATCGATCATCGCTTTATTAGTCATTGAGTTGTCCATATCTCATTACGCGCTTGTTTTCTTTCTTCTCTCTTACCGTTCCTATTTATTTACTCGGTAACAAATGTTGGCGTTCGAGGCTGGATAAACTGGCACGAGTGCAACAAGCAAAAGTCCAAAGAGTAAGTACTACTCTACAGTTGATTTCAGGCAGCTCAAAACTGTCTATTGCGTGGAGCGCACCAAAGATGGAGAACGCTATGTCGCCAATTTTGTTCCTGAAAGTACTAAGGAAACTTTCTCACCTTGAACATAGCGGCGAAAATGTTTTCTCCTGATGTGTGGCCAGGGCTGATGACGTAAAACGTATGCGCTTGATATACGGGTACTGTACTGTAATGGTAAGAGCCGGCGGACGTTACGTGCCACTTTAAAAAAAAACACTACTCAGAGGCGGGGTTTGCCTATCCTGCTTTCTATTAAGTAGAGCGTCTGGTATCTAGGCAACCGCTAAAAGCGGTTGAACTGCAGACGCTGAGAAAACGGGTCTTCGAGCCAAAGTGCGGTATGATGTGGAACGATACGCCCATATCGCCTTTCGTCCTAAACGAAAAGGAAAAAGAAAAGCAGAGGTAAAACTTCCCCCCTGTTATTCCAGGAGTTTGACTGTAATATGAGACCGGGTTAGCATAACCAGGTTTTGAACTCTGTTGCGAACGATAACTTGTTCTCTTTGTAGTTTATAAAATCATATAAGCTATACGTTAGATCTAGCATACTTGCCTAAAATAAAAATCAATAGTCTCTTTTCAGCATGGAAATTTAACTTACTTTGTTCCCTCCAAACTCAGGGATAAGAAGTTGATGCCTAAATCTGAGACGCATACAAAGCGGCTTCTTTGCCTACTTGAAAATATGAATCACCAAATGATTCAGGCAAAACAAAAAAACATTTATTAAAGGGAGGGTCAAGTATTTTTTATAGAGTATAGAAACTACAGAAACATGACATTTGGTATATATAATACATTAGAAAGCAAGTCAAACAACATTGATCAATCAATCACAGTAGAGCTGGGAGGGACATTGGAGGTCTTCTAGTTCAATCTCCTGTTCAAGCAGGCGATCCTATATTATTTCAGTCAAGGGATTGTCCAGGCTCTTCTTAAAAACTTCCAGTGATGAAGCACCCACAATTTCTGACAGCAAGCTGTTTCACTGGTTAATTGCCCTCACTGTTAGGAAGTTTCTCCTCAATTCCATGCTGCTTCTCTCCTTAATTTGACATCCATTCTTGTCCTGCCCTTTGGTGCTTTGGAAAATAAACTGACTCCCTTCTCTTTGTAGCAACCTCTCATATACTGGAATACTGCTGTCATGTCCCCTCCTAGTCCTTCTTTTCTCTAGACTAGCGAAACCCTAATCCCGTTCTTCATATATTTTAGTCTCCGAGCCTTTAATTATCTTAGTAAACAACAATAGAAAAGGCTGATTCTAGAAAGCATTCCACAAATGGCACATGTGGGTTACATTATTCTTTCCCATCTGGGTTTCTATCAGCCTTAAAACTTGCAAAGAACTGCCACAAAGAAGAGGGGATCAACCTATTCTCCATAGCACCTGAAGGCAGGACAAGAAGCAATGGATGGAAACTAATCAAGGAGAGAAGCAACCTAAAGATAAGGAGAAATTTCCAGACAGAACAATTAGTCAATGGAACAACTTGCCTCTGGAAGTTGTGGGTGCTCCAACACTGGAGGTTTTTAAGAAGAGAGTGAATAACCATTTATCTGAAATGGCATAGGGCCATGATGGCGAACCTATGACACGCGTGCCACAGATAGGAACATGGAGCCATTTGTTAGGGCATGGGAGGCGTTGCCATCCGGAGCCTTCAGGAGGCTTCTCTGAAGGCTTCGGAGGGCGAAAAATGGCCCTATGGCCAAACCGGAAGTCACTTCCGGTTTGCTCGTAGGGCCATTTTTTGCCTTCAGGAGGCTTCCCTGAAGGGCAAAAAACAGCCCTATGAGCAAACACGAAGTCACCGTTCCCAAATTTCCGGGTTGCCCATATGAGGAGCCAAGGTGGCGCAGTGGTTAAATGCAGCACTGCAGGCTACTGCTAGATCAGCAGGTCAGCGGTTCAAATCTCACCGGCTCAGGGTTGACTCA